TGTCGGTTAACAGGTCTCTTTATCATAAAACTACAAACATGGCTGTAGGTTAACAGGTCTCTTTATCATAAAACTACAAAGATGGCTGTCGGTTAACAGGTCTCTCTATCATAAAACTACAAACATGGCTGTAGGTTAACAGGTCTCTTTATCATAAAACTACAAAGATGGCTGTAGGTTAACAGGTCTCTTTATCATAAAACTACAAACATGGCTGTAGGTTAACAGGTCTCTTTATCATAAAACTACAAACATGGCTGTAGGTTAACAGGTCTCTATCATAAAACTACAAACATGGCTGTAGGTTAACAGGTCTCTTTATCATAAAACTACAAAGATGGCTGTAGGTTAACAGGTCTCTTTATCATAAAACTACAAACATGGCTGTAGGTTAACAGGTCTCTTTATCATAAAACTACAAACATGGCTGTAGGTTAACAGGTCTCTTTATCATAAAACTACAAACATGGCTGTAGGTTAACAGGTCTCTTTATCATAAAACTACAAACATGGCTGTAGGTTAACAGGTCTCTTTATCATAAAACTACAAACATGGCTGTAGGTTAACAGGTCTCTTTATCATAAAACTACAAAGATGGCTGTAGGTTAACAGGTCTCTTTATCATAAAACTACAAACATGGCTGTAGGTTAACAGGTCTCTATCATAAAACTACAAAGATGGCTGTAGTTTAACAGGAGGGTTATGAATAGAACTACAAAGATGGCTGTAGTTTAACAGGAAGGTTATGAATAGAACTACAAAGATGGCTGTAGTTTAACAGGAGGTTCATGAATAGAACTACAAAGATGGCTGTAGTTTAACAGGAGGGTTATGAATAGAACTACAAAGATGGCTGTAGTTTAACAGGAGGGTTATGAATAGAACTACAAAGATGGCTGTAGTTTAACAGGAGGTTCATGAATAGAACTACAAAGATGGCTGTAGTTTAACAGGAGGGTTATGAATAGAACTACAAAGATGGCTGTAGTTTAACAGGAGGGTTATGAATAGAACTACACAGATGGCTGTAGTTTAACAGGATGTTTATTCTTAGAACTACAAAGATGGCTGTAGTTTAACAGGAGGGTTATGAATAGAACTACAAAGATGGCTGTAGTTTAACAGGAGGTTTATGAATAGAACTACACAGATGGCTGTAGTTTAACAGGATGTTTATTCTTAGAACTACACAGATGGCTGTAGTTTAACAGGTTCATGAATAGAACTACAAAGATGGCTGTAGTTTAACAGGATGTTTATTCTTAGAACTACAAAGATGGCCGTTTAACAGGATGTTTATTCTTAGAACTACAAAGATGGTCGTTTAACAGGAGGTCTCACTCTGCAGATAATCAGTTCCGGATGTCGATCCTGGAGCGTTTGGAGCAGATGGAGCGCAGGATGGCAGAAATGGCCGCTCGCGACAACCATCACCAACACCATCAACAACTACAACAACAACACTACCACCATCACCATGGCAACCAGCTGGCCACTCCCCCTCCCCCGCATCCACCTGAGGACCAGGAACAGGTGAGAAAAAGCTTTACTGTAGTTCTTATTAAAGAGGTCATCTAGTGTGTGTGTGTGTGTGTGTGTGTGTGTGTGTGTGTGTGTGTGTGTGTGTGTGTGTGTGTGTGTGTGTGTGTGTGTGTGTGTGTGTAACCCACCCTGATTGTGTGTGTTCCTCCCTCAGTCGTCGCAGTGGTTCGAGAGGAGGATCGTGGGAGTGTGTGAGAGGATGATGAGGGGAGGAAGGTGGGGAGGAAGAGGAGGAGGAAGAGGAGAGAGACTCCATCACTCCCCCCGACACCGAGGGATGACCCTCCTTCACCTGGCTGCTGCTCAGGGATACACACACCTGATACACACCTTAATCCACTGGAGGTACACACACACACACACACACACACACCTGCTACACACCTTAATCCACTGGAGGTACACACACACACACACACACACACCTGATACACACCTTAATCCACTGGAGGTACACACACACACACACACACACACACCTGCTACACACCTTAATCCACTGGAGGTACACACACACACACACACACACACACCTGCTACACACCTTAATCCACTGGAGGTACACACACACACACACACACACACACACCTGATACACACCTTAATCCACTGGAGGTACACACACACACACACACACCTGATACACACCTTAATCCACTGGGGGTACACACACACACACACACACACACACACACACACACACACACACACACACCTTAATCCACTGGAGGTACACACACACATTTTAAAATGTACTGTTATTTCTCGCTGACTGTAAGTGTGTTTTGTTTCAGGAATGTTAACGCTGACAGTTTGGACTTGGAACAGGAAGTGGATCCTCTCAACATCGACCACTTCTCCTGCACGCCACTGGTAAACACACACACACACACACACGTTTAGCCTCTCCTGTGAAAGACCAACCCTCACGTGTCTCCTGTGTGTGTCTCCGTTGTCCTCACGTGTCTCCTGTGTGTGTCTCCGTTGTCCTCACGTGTCTCCTGTGTGTGTGTGTTGTCCTCACGTGTCTCCTGTGTCTCTCCGTTGTCCTCACGTGTCTCCTGTGTCTCTCCGTTGTCCTCACGTGTCTCCTGTGTCTCTCCGTTGTCCTCACATGTCTCCTGTGTCTCTCCGTTGTCCTCACGTGTCTCCTGTGTCTCTCCGTTGTCCTCACGTGTCTCCTGTGTGTCTCCGTTGTCCTCACGTGTCTCCTGTGTCTCTCCGTTGTCCTCACGTGTCTCCTGTGTCTCTCCGTTGTCCTCACGTGTCTCCTGTGTCTCTCCGTTGTCCTCACGTGTCTCCTGTGTGTCTCTCCGTTGTCCTCACGTGTCTCCTGTGTCTCTCCGTTGTCCTCACGTGTCTCCTGTGTGTGTCTCTCCGTTGTCCTCACGTGTCTCCTGTGTGTCTCTCCGTTGTCCTCACGTGTCTCCTGTGTGTCTCCGTTGTCCTCACGTGTCTCCTGTGTGTGTCTCTCCGTTGTCCTCACGTGTCTCCTGTGTGTGTCTCTCCGTTGTCCTCACGTGTCTCCTGTGTCTCTCCGTTGTCCTCACGTGTCTCCTGTGTCTCTCCGTTGTCCTCACGTGTCTCCTGTGTGTGTCTCTCCGTTGTCCTCACGTGTCTCCTGTGTGTGTCTCTCCGTTGTCCTCACGTGTCTCCTGTGTCTCTCCGTTGTCCTCACGTGTCTCCTGTGTCTCTCCGTTGTCCTCACGTGTCTCCTGTGTCTCTCCGTTGTCCTCACGTGTCTCCTGTGTGTCTCTCCGTTGTCCTCACGTGTCTCCTGTGTCTCTCCGTTGTCCTCACGTGTCTCCTGTGTCTCTCTTGTCCTCACGTGTCTCCTGTGTCTCTCCGTTGCCTCACGTGTCTCCTGTGTCTCTCCGTTGTCCTCACGTGTCTCCTGTGTCTCTCTGTTGTCCTCACGTGTCTCCTGTGTCTCTCTTTGTCCTCACGTGTCTCCTGTGTCTCTCCGTTGTCCTCACGTGTCTCCTGTGTCTCTCCGTTGTCCTCACGTGTCTCCTGTGTCTCTCCGTTGTCCTCACGTGTCTCCTGTGTGTGTCTCTCCGTTGTCCTCACGTGTCTCCTGTGTCTCTCCGTTGTCCTCACGTGTCTCCTGTGTCTCTCCGTTGTCCTCACGTGTCTCCTGTGTGTCTCTCCGTTGTCCTCACGTGTCTCCTGTGTCTCTCCGTTGTCCTCACGTGTCTCCTGGTGTCTCTCCGTTGTCCTCACGTGTCTCCTGTGTCTCTCCGTTGTCCTCACGTGTCTCCTGTGTCTCTCCGTTGTCCTCACGTGTCTCCTGTGTCTCTCCGTTGTCCTCACGTGTCTCCTGTGTTCATCTCCGTGTCCTCACGTGTCTCCTGTGTCTCTCCGTTGTCCTCACGTGTCTCCTGTGTCTCTCCGTTGTCCTCACGTGTCTCCTGTGTCTCTCCGTTGTCCCTCACGTGTCTCCTGTGTCTCTCCGTTGTCCTCACGTGTCTCCTGTGTCTCTCCGTTGTCCTCACGTGTCTCCTGTGTGTCTCTCCGTTGTCCTCACGTGTCTCCTGTGTCTCTCCGTTGTCCTCACGTGTCTCCTGTGTCTCTCCGTTGTCCTCACGTGTCTCCTGTGTGTCTCTCCGTTGTCCTCACGTGTCTCCTGTGTCTCTTCCGATCTCCTCACGTGTCTCCTGTGTCTCTCCGTTGTCCTCACGTGTCTCCTGTGTCTCTCCGTTGTCCTCACGTGTCTCCTGTGTCTCTCCGTTGTCCTCACGTGTCTCCTGTGTCTCTCCGTTGTCCTCACGGGTCTCCTGTGTCTCTCCGTTGTCCTCACGTGTCTCCTGTGTCTCTCCGTTGTCCTCACGTGTCTCCTGTGTCTCTCCGTTGTCCTCACGTGTCTCCTGTGTCTCTCCGTTGTCCTCACGTGTCTCCTGTGTCTCTCCGTTGTCCTCACGTGTCTCCTGTGTCTCTCCGTTGTCCTCACGTGTCTCCTGTGTCTCTCCGTTGTCCTCACGTGTCTCCTGTGTCTCTCCTGTTGTCCTCACGTGTCTCCTGTGTCCTTCTCCGTTTCCTCACGTGTCTCCTGTGTCTCTCCGTTGTCCTCACGTGTCTCCTGTGTCTCTCCGTTGTCCTCACGTGTCTCCTGTGTCTCTCCGTTGTCCTCACGTGTCTCCTGTGTCTCTCGTTGTCCTCACGTGTCTCCTGTTCTCTCCGTTGTCCTCACGTGTCTCCTTGTGTCTCTCCGTTGTCCTCACGTGTCTCCTGTCTCTCCGTTGTCCTCACGTGTCTCCTGTGTGTGTCTCTCCGTTGTCCTCACGTGTCTCCTGTGTCTCTCCGTTGTCCTCACGTGTCTCCTGTGTGTGTCTCTCCGTTGTCCTCACGTGTCTCCTGTGTCTCTCCGTTGTCCTCACGTGTCTCCTGTGTCTCTCCGTTGTCCTCACGTGTCTCCGTTGTCCTCACGTGTCTCCGTTGTCCTCACGTGTCTCCTGTGTCTCTCCGTTGTCCTCACGTGTCTCCTGTGTCTCTCCGTTGTCCTCACGTGTCTCCTGTGTCTCTCCGTTGTCCTCACGTGTCTCCTGTGTGTGTCTCTCCGTTGTCCTCACGTGTCTCCCTGTTGTCTCTCCGTTGTCCTCACGTGTCTCCTGTGTGGTCTCTCCGTTGTCCATCACGTGTCTCCTGTGTGTGTCTCTCCGTTGTCCTCACGTGTCTCCTGTGTCTCTCCGTTGTCCTCACGTGTCTCCTGTGTCTCTCCGTTGTCCTCACGTGTCTCCTGTGTGTGTCTCTCCGTTGTCCTCACGTGTCTCCTGTGTGTCTCCGTTGTCCTCACGTGTCTCCTGTGTCTCTCCGTTGTCCTCACGTGTCTCCTGTGTCTCTCCGTTGTCCTCACGTGTCTCCTGTGTGTGTCTCTCCGTTGTCCTCACGTGTCTCCTGTGTGTGTCTCTCCGTTGTCCTCACGTGTCTCCTGTGTCTCTCCGTTGTCCTCACGTGTCTCCTGTGTGTCTCTCCGTTGTCCTCACGTGTCTCCTGTGTCTCTCCGTTGTCCTCACGTGTCTCCTGTGTGTCTCTCCGTTGTCCTCACGTGTCTCCTGTGTGTGTCTCTCCGTTGTCCTCACGTGTCTCCTGTGTCTCTCCGTTGTCCTCACGTGTCTCCTGTGTGTGTCTCTCCGTTGTCCTCACGTGTCTCCTGTGTGTGTCTCCGTTGTCCTCACGTGTCTCCTGTGTGTCTCCGTTGTCCTCACGTGTCTCCTGTGTCTCTCCGTTGTCCTCACGTGTCTCCTGTGTGTCTCTCCGTTGTCCTCACGTGTCTCCTGTGTCTCTCCGTTGTCCTCACGTGTCTCCTGTGTGTCTCTCCGTTGTCCTCACGTGTCTCCTGTGTGTGTCTCTCCGTTGTCCTCACGTGTCTCCTGTGTGTGTCTCTCCGTTGTCCTCACGTGTCTCCTGTGTGTCTCTCCGTTGTCCTCACGTGTCTCCTGTGTGTCTCTCCGTTGTCCTCACGTGTCTCCTGTGTGTCTCCGTTGTCCTCACGTGTCTCCTGTGTCTCTCCGTTGTCCTCACGTGTCTCCTGTGTGTGTCTCTCCGTTGTCCTCACGTGTCTCCTGTGTGTCTCTCGTTGTCCTCACGTGTCTCCTGTGTCTCTCCGTTGTCCTCACGTGTCTCCTGTGTGTCTCTCCGTTGTCCTCACGTGTCTCCTGTGTGTCTCTCCGTTGTCCTCACGTGTCTCCTGTGTGTCTCTCGTTGTCCTCACGTGTCTCCTGTGTCTCTCCGTTGTCCTCACGTGTCTCCTGTGTCTCTCCGTTGTCCTCACGTGTCTCCTGTGTCTCTCCGTTGTCCTCACGTGTCTCCTGTGTGTGTCTCTCCGTTGTCCTCACGTGTCTCCTGTGTGTGTCTCCGTTGTCCTCACGTGTCTCCTGTGTGTCTCTCTGTTGTCCTCACGTGTCTCCTGTGTCTCTCCGTTGTCCTCACGTGTCTCCTGTGTGTGTCTCTCCGTTGTCCTCACGTGTCTCCTGTGTGTCTCTCCGTTGTCCTCACGTGTCTCCTGTGTGTGTCTCTCCGTTGTCCTCACGTGTCTCCTGTGTCTCTCCGTTGTCCTCACGTGTCTCCTGTGTCTCTCCCGTTGTCCTCACGTGTCTCCTGTGTCTCTCCGTTGTCCTCACGTGTCTCCTGTGTCTCTCCGTTGTCCTCACGTGTCTCCTGTGTGTCTCCGTTGTCCTCACGTGTCTCCTGTGTCTCTCCGTTGTCCTCACGTGTCTCCTGTGTGTCTCTCCGTTGTCCTCACGTGTCTCCTGTGTCTCTCCGTTGTCCTCACGTGTCTCCTGTGTGTGTCTCTCTGTTGTCCTCACGTGTCTCCTGTGTCTCTCTCCGTTGTCCTCACGTGTCTCCTGTGTGTGTCTCTCTGTTGTCCTCACGTGTCTCCTGTGTCTCTCCGTTGTCCTCACGTGTCTCCTGTGTGTCTCTCCGTTGTCCTCACGTGTCTCCTGTGTGTGTCTCTCTGTTGTCCTCACGTGTCTCCTGTGTCTCTCCGTTGTCCTCACGTGTCTCCTGTGTCTCTCCGTTGTCCTCACGTGTCTCCTGTGTGTGTCTCTCCGTTGTCCTCACGTGTCTCTGTGGTCTCTTCCGTTGTCCTCACGTGTCTCCTGTGTCCTCTCTGTTGTCCTCACGTGTCTCCTGTGTCTCTCCGTTGTCCTCACGTGTCTTCTGTGTGTGTCTCTCCGTTGTCCTCACGTGTCTCCTGTGTCTCTCCGTTGTCCTCACGTGTCTCCTGTGTCTCTCCGTTGTCCTCACGTGTCTCCTGTGTGTGTCTCTCCTCACGTGTCTCCTGTGTGTCTCTCCGTTGTCCTCACGTGTCTCCTGTGTGTGTCTCTCTGTTGGTCCTCACGTGTCTCCTGTGTCCTCTCCGTTGTCCTCACGTGTCCTCCTGTGTCTCTCCGTTGTCCTCACGTGTCTCCTGTGTGTGTCCTCTCCGTTTGTCCTCACGTGTCTCCTGTGTGTGTCTCTCTGTGTCCTCACGTGTCTCCTGTGTCTCTCCGTGTCCTCTCGTGTCTCCTGTGTCTCTCCGTTGTCCTCACGTGTCTCCTGTGTGTCTCTCCGTTGTCCTCACGTGTCTCCTGTGTCTCTCCGTTGTCCTCACGTGTCTCCTGTGTGTGTCTTCTCCGTTGTCCTCACGTGTCTCCTGTGCTCTCTCCGTTGTCCTCACGTGTCTCCTGTGGTCCTCTCTCCGTTGTCCTCACGTGTCTCTGTGTGTGTCTCCCTTCCCTGTCTCCTTCCGTTGTCCTCACGTGTCTCCTGTGTCTCTCCGTTGTCCTCACGTGTCTCCTGTGTCTCTCCGTTGTCCTCACGTGTCTCCTGTGTCTCTCCGTTGTCCTCACGTGTTTCCTGTGTCTCCGTTGTCCTCACGTGTCTCCTGTGTGTGTCTCTCCGTTGTCCTCACGTGTCTCCTGTGTCTCTCCGTTGTCCTCACGTGTCTCCTGTGTCTCTTCGTTGTCCTCACGTGTCTCCTGTGTCTCTCCGTTGTCCTCACGTGTCTCCTGTGTCTCCGTTGTCCTCACGTGTCTCCTGTCTCTCCAGATGTGGGCGTGTGCTCTTGGCCACCAGAGGGCAGCAGAGCTTCTGTATGGCTGGAACTCTTCAGCGTTGGGGATCCCTGATTCTCTGGGACGCCTTCCCCTGGCCGTGGCTCGATCCAGAGGACACACACGCCTCGCCACGGCTCTGGAAGACCTGCACACACACACTCTGCCACCAGACACACACACACCGCCTCCTGGGGACACACCTCAACCTCCGTCTCCTCTGTCCACCAGCCCCGACACAGGTACGCCTACTGACGTCATGTGACCTCTTCATGTGTTGTGAAAACACTGAGTGCACTCCTCCAATCTGAGAGCAACATGCTAACAAAGGTTTCCAATCTGAGAGCAACATGCTAACCAAGGTTTCCAATCTGAGAGCAACATGCTAACAAAGGTTTCCAATCTGAGAGCAACATGCTAACAAAGGTTTCCAATCTGAGAGCAACATGCTAACAAAGGTTTCCAATCTGAGAGCAACATGCTAACAAAGGTTTCCCAAAGATTCCAGATTTTGAGAAAAATCCCAGATTTTGAGAAAAATCCCAGATTTTTCTAAAATTCCAGATTTTTAGAAAATTTCCAGATTTTTAGAAAAATTCCAGATTTTTAGAAAAATTCCAGATTTTTAGAAAAATTCAGTATTTTGTTCATGACAGGATGTATGATTGCAGAGAAGAACCGGTATTCCTCCATCTTGTGACTGTGTAACTCCCTCTCTTGGATATCATCATGATCATTTCTGACCTGGAGCTCATCTGAACAAAATGTCTCCCCCTCTCTCCCCCTGCAGGTCTGAGTTCCTCCAGCAGTCTTCCTTCCCCCTCCTCCTCCCCCTCACCAAGCTCCGCCTACTCCAGTGGCCCCGCCCCCATGGACACCTCCCCCTCCTCTCCCTCCTCTTCCTCCTCTTCCTCCTATTCCTCCCTCCCTGTCTCCCCCTCTTCTCTCCCCCCTCTGCCCGAGTCCATGTGGGGGGAGGACCCGGACGCAGGTGCAGGTAACGCTTCCCTTCCATTAGATGTGTTCTCATCAGATGCTCAGCAGCTACAGAAAGGTCTCCTGACCTGAGCTCCTCCAACAAAGCACCATCATGAATACAGTCTCTATCCATGTGAACAGAATGTGATGTGTTCAAGAACAGAATGTGATGTGTTCAAGAACAGAATGTGACATTAAATAACGTACATTCAGACTATATTAAATATGTTATAATCAGGGGTGCACATCACTTTGTTGCCCTGGTTCTCAAAGGAGCACCTGGAGATGTTGCTTGCATCCTTAAAATGAAATAAACCGGACCTTTTGAGGGGTTCTTGACTTTATGAACGGGGGGGGGGGGAGGTGCGCTAGTGAGCACGCTCATGAACTGTTCGCCTCGCAGCGGGGTTACACATAAAGCAGACCCTTCACGCGATAGCGAGGGGTAGAGCGAGGGATCGCAGATGCCGTCGTGCTCGCGGACGGATACAAAAAATGAAACCTAAATGGCTCGCGAATTATACTTTGTAAAGTCTATGTGTGGGAAACCCTGCTATCTTACCTGTTCTTATGCAACTCGCAAATCTCTCTCTCTCTCTCGCCCTCTTTTGGCGGGGGGTGGCATGCGCACCTGTTATGTGCAGCCCTGGTAATACGGTATGTTTAACCTATGAACCCTGTGCTTCCTGGCTGATGATGCTTGTTGTTGCCGGGCAGGTGTGGACCCCGGCGGCTCCAGAGCCTCTCCTCTGTTCCTCATGGATTACAGCGAGAACACGGAGGAGGAAGAGGAGGAGGAGGTGCTGCAGGTAACACTGAAACACAGACAGGGGTCAAAGGTCCAAGGTCACAGAGGTTATTCCTTAAAATGAGTTCCAAAATGTAGTTTTTACATTTAGATTCTGAGCTAATTCCCCAATCTCAGTCTAAAATTCACCTCTACATGTAGTCTCTCTCTCACACACACACACACACACACACACACACACACACACACACACACTCACTAACCTAGTCATCTGTTGCTATGGTTACCCCTCCACAGGTTGACATGGCGATGCTGGCGGAGCAAATCATCGAGGCGACTCCTGAGCGAATCAAACAGGAGGATTTCCCCCTGGGGGCGGAGTCTCCGCTCAGAGAGAGGCGGGACAACCCGGACATTCAGGACACCTGGTTGGCTACTTACCTGGACACGGTCGACGCCCACCCCCACTCCCCCCCCAGGTACACACCTGTATAAACTGTAATCTTTAAAGGTCTCCTATCATGCTACCTTCAGGCCGATATCACAGGTCTCAGACATAAAGAAGAAGAAACACTTTACAGGGACATGTCCCCACTCTGTTGTGTTTACACACATTACACAACCACATGCAGATAGGAGAGGTGGCAGAGCAGAGAGGCTGCCAGGTACCCGGCGCCAAGGGAGCAGTTTCAAGGTTAGGTGCCTTGCTCAAGGGCACCTCGGCAGTGGCCTTGGAGGTGAACTGGCACCTCTCCAGCTACCAGCTCACTGGGTACGATCGGGACGTGAACCGGCGACCCTTCGGTTCCAAGACCAAGTCCCTACAGACTGAGCCACTGCCGCCCCCAGACATGTCTCTGAAGTGTCCTGCTCCAAACCCCAAACAGATCCTTGTAGCCCCCCCCCCTCTCTTCCAGCTGTTACTAAGGATACATGGTGATGTAGAGAAGACATCACTTAGTGAGTCTCCTGACACACCGGGGACACATGGTGATGTAGAGAAGACATCACTTAGTGAGTCTCCTGACACACCGGGGACACATGGTGATGTAGAGAAGACATCACTTTGAGAGTCTCCTGACACACCGGGGACACATGGCGATGTAGAGAAGACATCACTTTGAGAGTCTCCTGACACACCGGGGACACGTGGTGATGTAGAGAAGACATCACTATGTGAGTCTCCTGACACACCGGGGACACATGGTGATGTAGAGAAGACATCACTATGTGAGTCTCCTGACACACCGGGGACACATGGTGATGTAGAGAAGACATCACTATGTGAGTCTCCTGACACACCGGGGACACATGGTGATGTAGAGAAGACATCACTTTGAGAGTCTCCTGACACACCGGGGACACATGGTGATGTAGAGAAGACATCACTTAGTGAGTCTCCTGACACACCGGGGACACATGGTGATGTAGAGAAGACATCACTTAGTGAGTCTCCTGACACACCGGGGACACATGGTGATGTAGAGAAGACATCACTTAGTGAGTCTCCTGACACACCGGGGACACATGGTGATGTAGAGAAGACATCACTTTGAGAGTCTCCTGACACACCGGGGACACATGGCGATGTAGAGAAGACATCACTTTGAGAGTTTCCTGACACACCGGGGACACATGGCGATGTAGAGAAGACATCACTATGTGAGTCTCCTGACACACCGGGGACACATGGTGATGTAGAGAAGACATCACTTTGAGAGTCTCCTGACACACCGGGGACACATGGTGATGTAGAGAAGACATCACTATGTGAGTCTCCTGACACACCGGGGACACATGGTGATGTAGAGAAGACATCACTTTGAGAGTCTCCTGACACACCGGGGACACATGGTGATGTAGAGAAGACATCACTTAGTGAGTCTCCTGACACACCGGGGACACATGGTGATGTAGAGAAGACATCACTTAGTGAGTCTCCTGACACACCGGGGACCAGGGCTCTCGACTAACTTTTTTCACCATCCTCCCGGAACCGTCCCGAAATACAATCTAAGCCGTCCCGAAATTAATGTGGACCGTCCCGAATTTAAAATATTTGTTTTTCTACATTATCATTAGTTAAAATCATTCAAAGTGACCTTTAACATAAATAAAACATCATACAAATCATTAGATGATAATTCATCAACCTTTTTATTTGAGTAAATCAGTCAAACACATAAACAAAGGCCAAATATATTTAAAAAAAACACACAAGCGAGAAAGTTACTCTAATATTGAATCCAATCAAGTTCTATCCAATTATCAAAAACATCCAACACTCTGTCCTGAAGACAGAAGACAGAGTAACCGCTAACCAGGATGACAGTCTGTAACACAGTCAGGAGACCTTTACAAACTGCCCGCCCCCTCGCACACAGACGGGGGAGAGAGCTCTCTCGTCTGGATTGGAAAATACATCATAGACGCATTTTGTAGTCTTATTGCATATTAGAAAAGGAGTTGGCGAAACTAAAACTGCAATGTAATGTTCATGTAGCAATAATACATATGACATGTATGTTTTAAAATGTCTCCAGTACCGATAAAAAGACCACTGTTGGTACCACTGTCTTTAATAATTCCGGCCCGGGGCCCGTTTAATACCGGGGCTCGGTACCCATCCCTACATGGGGAGAGGCGCAGCATATTGCTAAGGACTAAATGCGATGGAGAGTTCTCATCTCAGCTGCAATGACATGTCTGGAAACCCCCTCTAGGGTGCCCCATGCATAGCGCGTCGTCAAAAGCTGCTTCATAAGTTAAGTTTCGTTTCTCCGCACCGCTCCGGGGTAAAAAAATGGTAGTTACATCACAGCTGTGCGGCTGGCTGACAGCTGTAGCTACGTACTGTGTGTGTGTGTATTTCGCGGGTTGCTAAATGCTTTGTGTGTGTTTATGTTGACAAGGAGGTTTAATAACTGTGTGCTACACAAAACGTGCAGTCAGTTTCATTTTCATCGCCGTTCGTAGTAGAGTTAGCAGGGTATTTTTATTTTAACTCTCGTCCCAAATTCGTCCCAAAATTAATTTGTATCCTCCCCGACCCGATTTTTTTTCGGCCCCGGACGACGGGAGGTCCTTAAGCTCGAGCCCTGCCGGGGACACATGGTGATGTAGAGAAGACATCACTTTGTGAGTCTCCTGACACACCGGGGACACATGGTGATGTAGAAGAGACATCACTTTGTGAGTCTCCTGACACACCAGGGACACATGGTGATGTAGAGAAGACATCACTTTGTGAGTCTCCTGACACACCGGGGACACATGGTGATGTAGAGAAGACATCACTTTAGTGATGTCTCTGACACACCGGGGGACACATGGTGATGTAGAGAAGAACATCACTTTAGTGAGGTCTCCTGACCACACCAGGGGACACATGGTGATGTAGATGAAGACATCACATTGTGAGTCTCCTGACACACCAGGGACACATGGTGATGTAGTATGTAGTCTCCTGACACACCGGGGACACATGTGATGTAGAGATCATCACTTATGGATCTCCTGACACACCGGGGACACATGGTGATGTAGAGAAGACATCACTTTGTGAGTCTCCTGACACACGGGGACACATGGTGATGTAGAGAAGACATCACTTTGAGAGTCTCCTGACCACACCGGGGACACATGGTGATGTAGAGAAGACATCACTTAGTGAGTCTCCTGACACACCGGGGACACATGGTGATGTAGAGAAGACATCACTTAGTGAGTCTCCTGGACACACCGGGGGACACATGGTGATGTAGAGAAGACATCACTTATGGTGAGTCTCCTGACACACCGGGGACACATGGTGATGTAGAGAAGACATCACTTAGAGAGTCTCCTGACACACCGGGGGACACATTGGTGATGTAGGAGAGGACATCACTTTGTGAGTCTCCTGACACACCGGGGACACATGGTGATGTAGAGAAGACATCACTTTGAGAGTCTCCTGACACACCGGGACACATGGTGATGTAGAGAAGACATTCACTTTGAGAGTCTCCTGACACACCGGGACACGTGGGTGATGTGAGAGAAGACATCACTTTGAGAGTCTCCTGACACACCGGGGGACACGTGGTGATGTAGAGAAGACATCACTTTGAGAGTCCTCCTGACACACCGGGGACACGTGGTGATGTAGGAGAAGACATCACTTTGAGAGTCTCCTGACACACCGGGGACACGTGGTGATGTAGAGAAGACATCACTTAGAGAGTCTTCCTGACACACCGGGGACACGTGGTGATGTAGAGAAGACATCACTTTGAGAGTCTCCTACACACCCGGGGACACATGGTGATGTAGAGAAGACATCACTTTGAGAGTCTCCTGACACACCGGGGACACGTGGTGATGTAGAGAAGACAATCACTTTGAGAGTCTCCTGACACACCGGGGACACGTGGTGATGTAGAGAAGACATCACTTTGAGAGTCTCCTGACACACCGGGGACACGTGGTGATGTAGAGAAGACATCACTTTGAGAGTCTCCTGACACACCGGGGACACGTGGTGATGTAGAGAAGACATCACTTTGTGAGTCTCCTGACACACCGGGGACACATGGTGATGTAGAGAAGACATCACTTGAGAGTCTCCTGACACACCGGGGACACATGGTGATGTAGAGAAGACATCACTATGTGAGTCCTCCTGACACACCGGGGACACATGGTGATGTAGAGAAGACATCACTTTGTGAGTCTCCTGACACACCGGGGACACATGGTGATGTAGAGAAAGACATCACTTTGAGAGTCTCCCTGACACACCGGGGGACACGTGGTGATGTAGAGAAGAATCACTTAGTGAGTCTCCTGACACAACCGGGGACACATGGTGATGTAGAGGAGACATCACTTAGAGAGTCTCCTGACACACCGGGGACACATGGTGATGTAGAGAAGACATCACTTAGAGAGTCTCCTGACACACCGGGGACACATGGTGATGTAGAGAAGACATCACTTTGAGAGTCTCCTGACACACCGGGGACACGTGGTGATTGTAGAGAAGACATCACTTTGAGTAGTCTCCTGACACACCGGGGACACATGGTGATGTAGAGAAGACATCACTATGTGAGTCTCCTGACACACGGGGACACATGGTGATGTAGAGAAGACATCACTTTGTGAGTCTCCTGACACACCGGGGACACATGGTGATGTAGAGAAGACATCACTTAGAGAGTCTCCTGACACACCGGGGACACGTGGTGATGTAGAGAAGACCTCACTTTGAGAGTCTCCTGACACACCGGGGACACATGGTGATGTAGAGAAGACATCACTTAGTGAGTCTCCTGACACACCGGGGACACATGGTGATGTAGAGGAGACATCACTTAGAGAGTCTCCTGACACACCGGGGACACATGGTGATGTAGAGAAGACTCACTTTGAGAGTCTCCTGACACACCGGGGACACATGGTGATGTAGAGAAGACATCACTTAGTGAGTCTCCTGACACACCGGGGACACATGGTGATGTAGAGAAGACATCACTATGTGAGTCTCCTGACACACCGGGGACACATGGTGATGTAGAGAAGACATCACTTTGAGAGTCTCCTGACACACCGGGGACACATGGTGATGTAGAGAAGACATCACTTTGTGAGTCTCCTGACACACCGGGGGACACATGGTTGATTGTAGAAAAGACATCACTTTGAGAGTCTCCTGACACACCCGGGGACACTGGTGATGTAGAGAAGACATCACTATGTGAGTCTCCTGACACAACGGGGACACATGGTGATGTAGAGAAGACATCACTTAGTGAGTCTACTGACACACCGGGGACACATGGTGATGTAGAGAAGACATCACTATGTGAGTCTCCTGACACAACGGGGACACATGGTGATGTAGAGAAGACATCACTTTGAGAGTCTCCTGACACACCGGGGACACATGGTGATGTAGAGAAGACATCAGAAAGTGCATTCTGCATGATAGGAGATCTTTAAAATAAATCCAGTAATTATTCCCAATAAAACCCTAATATGTGCCCCTCCCTGTGCAGGCGGGTGTGCCCCCCCCCCCCCCCCTCAGCGCCCTCGCCCTGCAGAGGCTCCGCCCCCTTCCTCCGCAGCGTGGGCGGAGTTCCTGAACGCCTCGGCCAATGGGAAGATCGAGAGAGACTTCGCCCTGCTGACGCTGACGGACGGCGAGCAGAGAGAACTGTACGAGGCGGCGAGAATCATCCAGAACGCCTTCAGGAGATACAAGGTAAACACGCTAACACCAACGCTAACACCATGCTATCAATCATCCAGAACGCCTTCAGGAGATACAAGGTAAACACGCTAACACCACGCTAACACCATGCTAACTATCATCCAGAATGCCTTCAGGAGATACAAGGTAAACACGCTAACAACATGCTTTCAATGCGGTAACAACATGCTATCAACAAGCTTACAACAAGCTAAAAACACGCTAATAACATGCTTTCAACATCTAAAACACGCTAACTATACGCTATCAACACACTTACAACAAGCTAAAAACACGCTAATAACATGCTATCAACACACTCACACATGCTATCAACATGCCAATCAACAACGCTTACAATATCTAAAACACGCTAAACAACAAGCTAAAAACACACTCACCAACATGCTATCAACACACTCACAACCACGCTATCAACACGCTTACACAAGCGAAAACACGCTATCACAAACTTTCAACAAGCTAAAAACACGCTAACAACATGCTTTCAATGCGCTACACGCTTACATCTAAAACACGCTAACAACATCTAAAACACGCTAACAATACGCTATCAACACACTTACAACACGCTAAAACACGCTAACAACATGCTTTCAATGCGCTAACAACATCTAAAACACGCAACACGCTTACAACAAGCCGAAAACACGCTAACAACATGCTATCAACACACTATCAACATGCTTACAACACGCTAACAACATGCTATCAACACATTCACAACACGCTTACAACAAGCGAAAAACACGCTAACAATACGCTATCAACAAACTTTCAACAAGCTAAAAACACGCTAATAACATGCTATCAACACGCTCACAACATGCTATCAACACACTTACAACATGCTATCAAAACGCTATCAACACGCTTACAACAAGCTAAAAACACGCTAACATGCTATCCAAATACTCACAACACGCTATCAACACGCTAACTATCATCCTGAACGCCTTCAGGAGTTACAAGATAAACACGCTATCAATACACTAACAACAAGGTTCACACAAGTACTTTCATACTATTATAATAATATATTATTGTGTGTGTGTGTGTGTGTGTGTGTGTGTGTGTGTGTGTGTGTGTGTGTAGGGTCGCAGGTTAAAGGAGCAGCAGGACATTGCTGCAGCTGTCATTCAGAGGTGTTACAGGAAGTACAAACAGGTGTAGTGTGTGTGTGTGTGTGTGTGTGTGTGTGTGTGTGTGTGTGTGTGTGTGTGTGTGTGTGTGTGTGTGTGTGTGGTGTGTGTGTGTGTGTGTGTGTGTGTGTGTGTGTGTGTGTGTGGTGTGTGTGTGTGTGTGTGTGTGGGTGTTGTGTGTGTGTGTGTGTGTGTACACTAACCTGCCTCTTCACCTCTCTCTCTCTCTCTCTGGCTAGCTAACATGGATAGCTCTGAAGGTAATGTGTGTGTAGACGTAGTGACGTGTGTGTTCGATGTTATAATGGAGACGGCTGTTAAGTTATTAATTAGTTAAGAGTTATTGACTATTAATAAGTGAATGAGGTAAACCCAGTGCTGTATACCTGTTGTCTCTGACTTCACCTGTGTGAGGGGATGGCTGGTGTCCAGGAATCAGGACGTTTTTCATCCATTTCCCACCTATTTTACCCACAGTCATCTTTGACTGTTTTTCTTACATTTTATCAAAAAAAAAATCAGCATTTCTTTATAAATGTTTCACTTAATGTTCGCATGTTTTTTGGTATATTTTCAGATATTTTCAAAGATGTTTTTGTGTGACGGTCTCTCTCTCCCCCCCTCAGTACGCGCTCTATAAGAAGATGACGCAGGCGGCCATCTTGATCCAGTCCAAGTTCCGCTCTTATTACGAGCAGAAGCGTTTCCAGCAGAGCCGCCGGGCCGCCGTCCTGATCCAGCAATACTACCGCAGCTACAAGGAGTACGAGAGGCTGAAGCAGGGAGGGAACCCCAAGATCAAGTGAGTACCACAGGGGAACCCCAAGATCAAGTGAGTACCACAGGGGAACCCCAAGATCAATAACACAGGAGGGAACCCCAAGATCAAGTGAGTACCACAGGGGAACCCCAAGATCAAGTGAGTACCACAGGGGAACCCCAAGATCAAGTGAGTACCACAGGGGAACCCCAAGATCAAGTGAGTACTACAGGGGAACCCCAAGATCAATAACACAGGGGGGAACCCCAAGATCAAGTCAGTACCACAGGGGAACCCCAAGATCAATAACACAGGGGGGAACCCCAATATCAAGTCAGTACCGCAGGGGAACCCCAAGATCAATAACACAGGGGGGAACCCCAAGATCAAGTCAGTACCACAGGGGAACCCCAAGATCAATAACACAGGGGGGAACCCCAAGATCAATAACACAGGGGGGAACCCCAAGATCAAGTGAGTACCAGAGGGGAACCCCAAGATCAAGTCAGTACCACAGGGGAACCCCAAGATCAAGTCAGTAACACAGGGGAACCCCAAGATCAAGTCAGTAACACAGGGGAACCCCAAGATCAAGTCAGTACCACAGGGGAACCCCAATATCAAGTCAGTAACACAGGGGAACCCCAAGATCAAGTCAGTACCACAGGGGGAACCCCAATATCAAGTCAGTAACACAGGGGAACCCCAAGATCAAGTCAGTAACACAGGGGAACCCCAAGATCAAGTCAGTAACACAGGGGAACCCCAATATCAAGTCAGTACCACAGGGGAACCCCAAGATCAAGTCACTAACACAGGGGAACCCCAAGATCAAGTCAGTAACACAGGGGAACACCAAGATCAAGTCAGTAACACAGGGGAACCCCAAGATCAAGTCAGTAACACGGGGGAACCCCAATATCAAGTCAGTAACACGGGGGAACCCCAATATCAAGTCAGTAACACAGGGGAACCCCAAGATCAAGTCAGTAACACAGGGGAACCCCAAGATCAAGTCAGTAACACAGGGGAACCCCAAGATCAAGTCAGTAACACAGGGGAACCCCAATATCAAGTCAGTACCACAGTGGGGGAACCCCAATATCAAGTCAGTAACACAGGGGAACCCCAAGATCAAGTCAGTACCACAGGGGAACCCCAAGATCAAGTCAGTAACACAGGGGAACCCCAATATCAAGTCAGTACCACAGGGGAACCCCAATATCAAGTCAGTACCACGGGGGAACCCCAAGATCAAGTCAGTACCACGGGGGAACCCCAAGATCAAGTCAGTAACACGGGGGAACCCCAAGATCAAGTCAGTAACACGGGGGAACCCCAATATCAAGTCAGTAACACGGGGGAACCCCAAGATCAAGTCAGTAACACAGGGGAACCCCAAGATCAAGTCAGTTAACACAGGGGGAACCCCAAGATCAAGTCAGTACCACAGTGGGGAACCCCAATATCAAGTCAGTAACACAGGGAACCCCAAGATCAGTCAGTACCACAGTGGGGGAACCCCAATATCAAGTCAGTAACACAGGGGAACCCCAAGATCAAGTCAGTACCACAGGGGAACCCCAAGATCAAGTCAGTAACACAGGGGAACCCCAATATCAAGGCAGTACCACAGGGGAACCCCAAGATCAAGTCAGTACCACAGGGAACCCCAAGATCAAGTCAGTACCACAGGGGAACCCCAAGATCAAGGCAGTACCACAGGGGAACCCCAAGATCAAGTCAGTACCACAGGGGAACCCCAAGATCAAGTCAGTAACACAGGGGGAAACATTTAATACATTTTTATTATTAAAGGAGATATTTTGTCATAAAAATAAAATGCTATCGTATTTTGGTCATTTAAAAATAGCTATTATATTTTTCATAATTTGCAGTCTTAATATTTTTTTTGAAGATTTCATTGATCCTTAACGGGGAAATGACTTAGCACAAACATGATTGATCGTGATGGACATGAACACAAACAGAACCACATGCAGAAAGGAGGGGGAGATATTTTTTATAGATTTTAAAGATATCTTTTAAATATCATTAGATCTTGATATTTAATACAAAAGTATTAAAGGGTTGTTTCTGTGTCTCAGGGGCTCGTTCCTGACGAAGAGGCAGGACCAGGCAGCGAGGAAGATCATGAGGTTCCTGCGCCGCTGCAGACACAGGTTCGTTAAGCAATCAAAACCCGTTAAGAGCTCGTTAACTCTGGTTCAACACCTCGTTAACTCTGGTTCAACAGCTCGTTAACTCGTTAAGAGCTCGTTAACTCTGGTTCAACAGCTCGTTAACTCTGGTTCAACACCTCGTTAACTCTGGTTCAACAGCTCGTTAACCTCGTTAAGAGCTCGTTAACTCTGGTTCAACAGCTTGTTAACTCTGGTTCAACAGCTCGTTAACTCTGGTTCAACAGCTCGTTAACTCTGGTTCAACACCCGCGTTAACTCTGGTTCAACAGGCTCGTTAACTCTGGTTCAACAGCTCGTTAACTCTGGTTCAACAGCTCGTTAACTCTGGTTCAACACCGCGTTAACTCTGGTTCAACAGCTCGTTAACTCTGGTTCAACAGCTCGTTAACTCTGGTTCAACACCTCGTTAACTCTGGTTCAACAGCTCGTTAACTCTGGTTCAACACCGCGTTAACTCTGGTTCAACAGCTCGTTAACTCGTTAAGAGCTCGTTAACTCTGGTTCAACAGCTTGTTAACTCTGGTTCAACACCTCGTTAACTCTGGTTCAACAGCTCGTTAACTCTGGTTCAACAGCTCGTTAAGAGCTTGTTCAATAAGAGCTTGTTAACTCTGGTTCAACACCTCGTTAACTCTGGTTCAACACCTCGTTAACTCTGGTTCAATAAGAGCTCGTTAACTCTGGTTCAACACCTCGTTAACTCTGGTTCAACAGTTCGTTAACTCTGGTTCAACAGTTCGTTAACTCTGGTTCAACAGCTCGTTAAGAGCTTGTTAACCTGTTCCACTCTGAGCCTGTTTTTCAGGTCTCAGGCTCGAAAATGACATTCCCAGAACAAATGACCATATCTTCCCTTCTAAAAGGGTTAAATTAATAATCTTTTCTCAAAGTAATGATAAAACCTGTGAGTTGGATGTAGAAGTGTCAGAATCAATATAAATGTTTTTTATTTTAAAGAAAATTCAGATTTTACATAGTAAAAAACTGTAAATTATAGTGTCCGTCCAAAAATTTTTTTTTACAGATAGTGAAAACTACCCTTGGATGATGGGTTAGTAGACTAAAAGCTTTAGGAATCCAAAGTACAACATATAATAAGTACCCTGTATCAAGATTGATGCAAACAAGTGAAATTTGACCTTTTTAGAGAGATTTAGAGCCAAAAACTGGGCCATCTGGGGTCATTTGGGTGGATTTGACCTATCTTCTGGCCCCCCTTGCTCGATCTGGTTGGTTGACATACCCTTGTGACCGTTAGAGCCAATAGAATCGAAGGAGGATACCTACATAGACACACATTGTAAAGAAAAAATGTTGCCGCTTCGCGTGTGGAAAGCGAAACTAAACTGGAGGAATGTCTCCTTCTGGAGTTTGGAAACTAAAACGCAGTTGTATTGCTTATGGATTATCAGAAATAATTTCAAAGAAGGCACAGACACATAGGATGAACCTATGGATTAACTGCAGCATCGTTTTTTTTATCGTTTTAATGCCATTGAAGACCACTTTTGACCAAGGTAAGCCATATTTATATGTTTAGCTTCTTGGCTCCACATGTGATGATGTACGCTTTCGTTGATAGCGTCGCGAATGTTTATCACTGAGTGTTGAGGTGGGCACCGTTAGATTCAGTGTCTCCAGGACACCAAAAAATAGTGTTTGGTTGTGCATCTAGGATAAGTAATTTATCTTTGTCGGTCCCGTTTTTTCGATCGAGGCTAATTCAGAGGCTGAGTGCTAGCATTGTGGGTTTTTTTTGAAAAAAAAAATTAAAAAGATCAGTTAGCTGAGTTCTTCCCGTTACATGGATATAACACATTCATAGTTTTATTCAATATTAAGATTCCTTAGACGTTGTTTCCTGCAAATGACGCGTTTATCCGCCCGGTACCGGGGGGAAGGCGTGAAACAGGTTAACTCTGGTTCAACACCTCGTTAACTCTGGTTCAACACCTCGTTAACTCTGGTTCAACACCTCGTTAAGAGCTCGTTAACTCTGGTTCAACACCTCGTTAACTCTGGTTCAACAGCTCGTTAAGAGCTTGTTAACTCTGGTTCAACACCTCGTTAACTCTGGTTCAACACCTCGTTAACTCTGGTTCAACAGCTCGTTAACTCTGGTTCAACAGCTCGTTAACTCTGGTTCAACAGCTCGTTAACTCTGGTTCAACACCTCGTTAACTCTGGTTCAACAGCTCGTTAACTCTGGTTCAATAAGAGCTCGTTAACTCTGGTTTCAATAAGAGCTCGTTAACTCTGGTTCATAAGAGCTCGTTAACTCTGGTTCAACACCTCGTTAACTCTGGGTTCAACACCTTCGTTAACTCTGGTTCAAAAGCTCGTTAACTCTGGTTCAATAAGAGCTCGTTAACTCTGGTCAACAGCTCGTTAAGAGGCTTGTAATCTGTTCAAACACCCTCGTTAACTCTGGTTCAACAGCTCGTTAACTCTGGTTCAACACCTCGTTAACTCTGGTTCAAACACTCGTTAAGAGCTCGTTAACTCTGGTTCACACCTCGTTAACCTCTGGTTCAAACAGCTCGTTAAGAGCTTGTTAACTCTGGTTCAACACCTCGTTAACTCTGGGTTCAACACCTCGTTAACTCTGGTTCAACACCTCGTTAACTCTGTGTCAACAGCTCGTTAACTCTGGTTCACAGCTCGTTAACTCTGGTTCAACACCTCGTTAACTCTGGTCAACACCTCGTTAACTCTGGTTCAACAGCTCGTAACTCTGGTTCAACACCTCGTTAACTCTGGTTCAACACCTCGTTAAGAGCTCGTTAACTCTGGTTCAACACCCCGCGTTAACTCTGGGTTCAACACCTCGTTAACTCTGGTTCAACAGCTCGTTAAGAGCTTGTTAACTCTGGTTCAACACCTCGTTAACTCTGGTTCAACACCTCGTTAACTCTGGTTCAACACCTCGTTAACTCTGGTTCAACAGCTCGTTAACTCTGGTTCAACAGCTCGTTAACTCTGGTTCAACACCTCGTTAACTCTGGTTCAACACCTCGTTAACTCTGGTTCAACACCTCGTTAAGAGCTCGTTAACTCTGGTTCAACACCGCGTTAACTCTGGTTCAACACCTCGTTAACTCTGGTTCAACAGCTCGTTAAGAGCTTGTTAACTCTGGTTCAACACCTCGTTAACTCTGGTTCAACACCTCGTTAACTCTGGTTCAACACCTCGTTAACTCTGGTTCAACAGCTCGTTAACTCTGGTTCACAGCTCGTTAACTCTGGTTCAACACCTCGTTAACTCTGGTTCAACACCTCGTTAACTCTGGTTCAACAGCTCGTTAACCTCTGGTTCAATAAGAGCTCGTTAACTCTGGTTCAATAAGAGCTCGTTAACTCTGGTTCAAACACCTCGTTAACTCTGGTTCAATAAGAGCTCGTTAACTCTGGTTCAACAGCTCGTTAACTCTGGTTCAACACTTCGTTAACTCTGGTTCAACAGCTCGTTAACTCTGGTTCAATAAGAGCTCGTTAACTCTGGTTCAACAGCTCGTTAAGAGCTTGTTAACTCTGGTTCAACACCTCGTTAACTCTGGTTCAACAGCTCGTTAACTCTGGTTCAACACCTCGTTAACTCTGGTTCAATAAGAGCTCGTTAACTCTGGTTCAATAAGAGCTCGTTAACTCTGGTTCAACACCTCGTTAACTCTGGTTCAACACCTCGTTAACTCTGGTTCAACACCTCGTTAACTCTGGTTCAGTACCTCGTTAACACCTCGTTAACTCTGGTTCAACAGCTCGTTAACTCTGGTTCAATAAGAGCTCGTTAACTCTGGTTCAACAGCTCGTTAAGAGCTTGTTAACTCTGGTTCAAACACCTCGTTAACTCTGGTTCAATAAGAGCTCGTTAACTCTGGTTCAATAAGAGCTCGTTAACTCTGGTTCAACACCTCGTTAACTCTGGTTCAACACCTCGTTAACTCTGGTTCAACACCTCGTTAACTCTGGTTCAGTACCTCGTTAAGAGCTTGTTAACTCTGGTTCAACACCTCGTAACTCTGGTCAGTACCTCGTTAAGAGCTTGTTAACTCGGGTTCAGCACCTCGTTAAGATGCTCGTTAACTCTGGTTTCATCACCTCGTTAAAGCAGTCGTTAACCTCTGGTTCAGTACATCGTTAAGACTTTTAACTCTGGTTCAGTATCCCAGTACCTCGTTAAGACTAGAGCTCGTTAACTCTGGTTCAGTACCTCGTTAAGAGCTCGTAACTCTGGTCCGTCCTCGTAAGAGCTCGTAACTCTGTTCAGCACCATCGTTAAGACTTGTTACTAAATGTTTGTCTCTCTTCAGGATTAAGGAGCTGAAGCAGAGCCGGGAGGCTGGAGAGGGAGAGGACTGGACCACTTAGATCTTAAACCAGACAGGAAGTGACATCACAGAGAGACAGGAAGAGACATCAGAGAGATCGCCTTACCCACGACAACTCCCTCACCTGTCTGTGTGCACCTGTCTGTGTGCACCTGTCTGTGTGCACCTGTCTGTGTGCACCTGTCTGTGGTGCAGAGCTCCATCCTGGAATCACATCAGATTCAAGTGAACAAATATTTTGAATTTTTTTATATTTATTATATTTTTATACACTAACACTTAATGTAGATAATATTCTGAAATAATGATATCATTTCAAACACATTTAAATACAAATCAATAATAATAATAATATGTATTTATTTCCCTTCCCTTGCTCTGCTTCGAGAGGAGAGAAAGGAAAGGGGACAGGTCATAAATACGTGAAGATATTGAAATGATATACTAACTAATATTTCCAGAATGATTCATGAACCTGGATGATATTATGGGATGGAGTTCTTCACACGGCAACATGTACATGATGAGAGAAAGCTGCGTATAAATATATGAAACACAATCACATATAATACATATATATATATATATATAAATACATATATATTCTAATGTCGACTTTATAGATGCTATGGATGTCTTTATTTATTACAGCATGACCTGTGTGTGAGTGTGTGTGTGTGAGAGAGAGTGTGTGTGAGAGAGAGTGTGTGTGAGAGAGTGTGTGAGAGAGTGTGTGAGAGAGAGAGAGAGAGAGT